GGAGAGAAGCGCTAGGAGAACGTAACTTTTGTAAGGCTCACTCGTGAAAGACAAAGTAAAATTAAAACCATCTTTCAGATTGTGATCTTAAATCTCCCTGTGTTGGGTCTGGAGAAGTTGCAGCAGAAAGCAAGTTACTAGTCAGCCCTTGGGCCAATGTATACTTACCAAGCAGGCTACAAATTTTGAAGTTACACACAACTGTTCTGGATAATAATAATGATGGTGGTGGTGGTGATGATGATGATAAAGCAGTTGGGGAGATGTTTCCATGCCTGGGCATTATCCCCATAATTTTATTCCCAATACACAGTAACAGTCAATACCTTTAAAAGTCCAGAAAATATTGTTCAACTTTCTAATATCTGAAGCACATTCTTTTCAAAATTAAAGCTTAGGGCATCTGTTGGAAGGAGGTCGCCTCCAAACAGTGATTCATGAAGAGGTGAAATGAATAACCTGTTTTTGAGAGAAAGCTTCAGTATCTCTTAATTGGGAGTAGCTGAATGATCTATTCCTTCTACTGGTAGAGATTGTTTGGTCCAAGAGCAAGGTATTGGACCATGCAGAAATACAGCAGAAAACCTTCCCCAGAGGTATGCTGGGTTCACAGGAGACATTCCTAATTTAGGATGTAATCCTCTGCATGGTTAGACAGAAGAAAGTCCTACAACTCTCAGCATTTCTAATACAGGGAGTTGTAGGACTTTTTTGATCTGCACACGCAGAGGATTGTATCCTTTAATTATCTTATGGCATCATTAATACTAGAAATTCTCTTGTAAGTGCATCCTTAGGGAATTAGTCAGCATTCCAATGTTGCACTTGCTGGTAAGTTTCAAGTTATATAACAGTCCTCTCCAACTGTTCCTTACAAGCAGCACAAATTATGTTGTCTCTGGGGGGAAAAAGGAAAGGCAATGTATTACTAAGGCTTGTCTATCATTCTGTCATTCAGGACTCAATGATCCCCTGCAAAGTTGGGAAATTAGAAAGCTCAAAAGGATTCATCTCTAAAACTGGAGAATCGTTTTGGAGACATATAAGACCTTGGATTATTGTAGGCAGCAGGCTAAATGCAAACCAGCAATGAGATGCACTTGCTAAAAGGACAAATGCTGTGTTGAGTATAGTATTTGGGAATAGTATTTTGGGAATAGTATTACTTCCAAATCAGGCAGTAATAGTTCTTCCATACACTTCACTAGTCAGACCCCCTGTAGAATACTGTATCCAGTTCTTGGCACCAAGCTTTAAGAAAAATGCAGAAAAATTGGAAAGGGTTCAGAGAAGGGCAACAAAAATCATCCAGGGTTTGGAAACATTGCCCTATGAGGGAGAGAGAGAACTCTGGGTATGTTGAGACTTGAGAAGGGAAGACTGAGGGGAGACATTATATCACTTTATGAGTAACTGAAAGGCTGTCACAGAGAGGAAGGACAAGATCTCTTCTCGTTCATACCAGAGTGTACGTCACAGAATAATCAGTCCAAGTTGAGAGAAACCAGATTCAGGCTAGCTATCAGGAAAAGTTTCCTAACTCAGAGCAATACAACAGTGGAACCAGTTGCTTAGAGAGGTTGTAGGCTCTCCCACACTTGAGACATTCAAAAGGAAACTAGTCAGTCATCTGAGTTCAAAATAGAACTTTTTATTGTATTGATTTATTATGCATGTACCATACTTTTCTTACAACATGACTTCATGATTTTTGCGAAATCTTCCATTCAGGCAAGGTTCAGGGCAGGGCTGGATTTAGAGAGAGACCAAGGAGAAAACTTTGTGAGAGACTGGGCTTGAGAGGGCTTAGAGTAAACCTGTCATGGGCAGCCAAAAGAAATAGTACAGACAGTTCTCAAATACAGTATGCAAATTTATCATAAGAACATAAGAAAAGCCACTCTGGATCAGACCAAAGGTCCATGTAGTCCATCACTGTATGCACAGTAGCAAATATCAGGACAAAATGAGCAAAAGATTTGCCATAATATGGCTGTTAGAAGCCTGACAATATAAGAGCAGCTTTAGACATAAGGTGGGATTCCTGATTTGATCAGGAATCCGTGTTACAAGTCTTCCTTTGCACATACTTAAGCCTTGGAAATGCTAATGCCTTTGTCCCAAATGGTTTTCCTTTGAAGGTTTCTCTTAGATATGCTAATTGTTTACCTGCCCTGAAGTTTCTTCTCTTTCTGTTGTCTTAATCCCTACTGTTTTATTCTAATGTGCCTCTAGCATACTGTGTATGTGATCCCCCACCCCTTCTTCAAACTGTGTATGTAACTGACAGGTTATATAAGCATCTTGTATAGACTCCATCTTTGTAGTCCTTTGGGAGCTACCTACATGCCACATGTATTTCCTGTATGTCCGAATAAACTGCAAACCCAGTGGACTTTCTAAGGGTGCTTTTTTCACTCTTGTCACAAACCAGCTGCCCACAGGATTGCTCAAGCAGATGGGCACAGGACCACCACCTCAACAGCTGGTGTGTGCAAGCATGCCACCTCTGCAAAGGGAGGTAGCACAGAGGCAGCAAGGCTAGTAGCCACTCCCTCTTGAATCTGTTTAACCCCCTTCTAAAGCCATCCAATTTGGTGGCCATCACCACTTTCCATGGCAGTGAATTCCGTAGCTTGACTATACTTGTGTGAATAAGCATTTCCTTTAATCTGATCTAACGCCCCCACCAATCAGCTTCATGGGATGACTCTGGGCTTGGGAAGGTAAGAAAAATGTCCCCCTCTCCACCTTCTTTACACTAACTCAGATGCACTATTTTAAACACCTCTATCATGTCTCCCCTTATTTGTCTTTTTTCTAAGCTAAACAGTCCAAGTTGTTGTAGCCACAGCTCCTAGGGGAGATGCTCCAGTCCTCTGATCATTTTGGTTACCCTTCTCTGTACTTTTTCCAACTCAATAATGTCCTTTTTCAGGAAAGGTGATCAGAACTGAACACAATATTCTAAGTGTGGTTTTACCTAAGATTTGTACAAGGGGAGTAAAATCTTTGCAATTCTATTTTCTATTCTGTTCCTAATTGTTCCCAGCATGGAGTTTGCCTTTTTCAAAGTTGTCCACCACTATGCCAAAAATCCCTTCTTGCTCAGTCACTGCTAGCTCAGAACTCATCAGCGTATACCTGAAGTGGCGATTTTTGCCTCAACATGCATTACTTTACACTTGTTTATATTGCACTGCAATTGTCATTTTGATGCCCGTTCTCTCAGCTTGGAGAGATCCCTTTGGAGCTCCACACAATCCCTTCTAGTTTTGATATGCATGATATATATCCCTGTCGGCTTATCTGAGAGGAATATAGCATGCATACAAATTTTGAATCTATTTGCTGCAATGATCTACAGAAGCAGTGACATAACATTGTTAAAGGGTTGGACTAGTGGAGGTAGGCACCAAAGATACTTCTTTCTTGTGATGACATTCGGTCTAGGACTAACCCATGGTCATGGTCACCAGACACTGGATGTGAGGTAGTTGTGGAGGCTCATGTATCATAATAAATAGGGTATATTGAGATCACAAGGAGAGGAGGAGTGAGTGCTGCTGACAGAACTGTATGGCCCCAGAATGCATGTAAGGGTCCAATCCTATACATGTTAAGACAGAAAAGAAGTCCTACAAATGCTAGCAAGCCCCACATGCTGTATCTTAAATGAGAGAGCACGGAAGAACATTACATCCTAGGGACAGGAAACCACATCTAAAGAAGCATTTATTATATATTTATAATTAATATACATAATATTAATGTATATTAATATTATTGTCCAGCTATGCATGCACATACTCTATTGCCACATCCAGTTATGAAAACAAATCAAAGAGAACAAAAAGAGTCAAATATAAGCAAAGGAGACTAAGAAAAACTGATTTGAGAGAAAGGAGGGGAGTCTTGTTTTGTGGGTTTAGATGGAAGGGCCAGAGATATTGTGTCGAGCCCTCTCTTAACTGCCCTCTTTAATTAATAAAGCCTACTCAGGCAGGTGCATTGCAGTTTGCCCATGCCTGATGCAAGTAGAAGAGAGAGGAATGGCTGTATTAATCTGTGGAGATACAGCACCTTCAAGACTGAAGGCCAAGCCTGTGCCAGTTTAGACTGCATAAAGAAACAAATAGCGTACAACTCCCAACATGTCCCAGCCAGTATTACTGGGCACACTGTGAATTTTAGGCTTTTGCTGTCTAAACCAGCATAAGGGTTGTGCCCAATCTGATTTTACTCATGTGTGCTGCCAAAAACCATGCAGAGAACTCGATGGGCTGCTCTACAACCCTAAATTCATTAAAAATAAGAAGAGCGTTGGGGGATTTGAAGTGCCTGATCCTGCCTAATCTTGGCTGCTAAGCAGGGCAGGGCTGGTTTGGAATCTGGATGGGAGAGGTTGGACCTGATGGCCTGATAGGCCCCTCCCAACTGTATGCTTGTACGATCAGCTCAACATCTCCCGCTTATGCATTCAAGTGTCTCATAAAAATCTATTAAGACATACGTGCAAGAAAACAAACGGAGAGGTGTAGCGCCTCTGTTACTAGAAGCGGTATATATACATTGTGAGCACTAGCCATTAATAATAAAACAGCTTTATCCTCCACGGATTATCCCTTTCTCGTCTAATGCCCTTTTAAAACCCCATTGTGCTCGGCAGGGTGTACTTCTGAATAAACAGGTTTGGGAATGTGATGCGTAAAGCAGAAAAGAAAATGACCACAGAAACGGTTCGGGTTTTTTCTTTTGGCTGACAGGGTGGGGGAAACAGGCCCAACGAGATTTATGGGGGAACGAGGAAGAGCTCCTAGACAACCAGCAGAGGGCGTATGTCTGAAATGTTGACATCCCAAGAGATCGCTCGAGGGCGACGCGAGTCGCGGCTGTCACAGCACATGCTCCTGATGGTCGGGCATGCGCCCTCGCGGCAGGACCGGACTCTCCGCGCTCAGCTGCGGCGTGGCTCCGCCGGGGTCGGACGGGTGCGAGAAGCTGCCTGCGGCGGGGAGAAGAGCCGCGCGTAGGCCGTCGCCGCCTCAGCTGCCTTCCCCGCAGTGACCCGCGATTCCCGGCTGCCCCCTGCTGGGCCCCGCCGCCCCGCCATGTGACCCGGGCGGTGACAGAGCACTTTTATCTGCTTAGTCATCGTTCCCCTCCTCCTCCTCCCTCCCCTGCCGCCCCGGGAGAGCTCCCGCGAGCCTTCCCGCGCCTCCGCAGCCCAGCCGAGGAGCACGGAAGGGCGACGGCAGCAGCGCCAGGCTCCGGACGCTTCCATGGGGACCGAGAGCGGCAGCGGCAGCGGCGGCGGCGGCGGAGCCGGCGCCTTGCTGGGGCACGCGGGCACCCTCAACCTGCAGACGGGCAACCTGCTCAACTGGGGCCGCCTGCGGAAGAAATGCCCGGCCACCCCGAGCGAAGAGGTGAGGCCGGCGCGGGCGACCTGATGGGGTGGAGCGGTGGAGAGAAGGGGTTGGAGCGGGATGGAGGTTCAGGCAGCGTTTCCGACGACCATTAGACCACTCTTGCTAGACGTGGGGAGGCTGCGGAGCATGTGGCGTTTAGGTTTGCTCTTCTTTTTAAACCTATCGTTACACACTCGCGCACACGCAATAGAATTAAAAACGTTTTTGACCAATAAACGTAGGAGTTTCACAAGAAAAAAGCAAATAAAAAGAACAGCATGAACATAAAAGATACTTCTATATATTGATCTCTATATACAAGATTAGCACTTCTTACACTTGTGCAGGAAGATGGGGGTCGACACAAACTCAGATCCCCCGTTGTGATTTATTGACTGCCTTCCCAAAATGAGTGATGGGAAGCCCAAGTCATAAGCCTCTTTTTTATCATAATTACTGGGTAGGCAGGCATATGGTTCCCTTAAGCCTTCTGTGGCAAAAGATACAGACAACATGCTTCTTTGGGTGAGTAGGCAGCCTTGTATCCTTTCTTTATTTTTACATCTCAGCGCCCACTTTTCCATTAAATAAAAAACACGAAAGTGTAATATTACAACCCGAATCAAGAGATAATATTAAAAACCAAAGCTCTTATAATAAATGTCATTCTGGTATCCATGAGATGGAAGGGCACTTCCCACTGAATTAGGCTGGAGGTGAGTGGAAGACTTTCTGTTATTGATTTACTAAGCTCCCTTTTTCACTTTAGCTGGGGAATAGGCACAGTAAGGGCAAGCCTGGGATCCCAGCAGAGATTACCTTTAATAGTAGTAGTATTGTATGACATTTTTTTCTCCTGCAGGTGTGTTTTTACTCAATATGACATCCTGTATACAAAAACAATCTACCATTTCTGTCATGCTTTTCACTATCTGTTCGTAGGCCTTCAAAGCTTCCACAGAATATGGTTATCAGGTGAAAATCATTTTTTAAAAATTGCCCACTACAGTTTCTACACTTATATCTGCCAATGTTTTTCCTCCAATACTTTTATATTAGCTTTTTCTTAAAATGAAACTCAAGAATTTATGGGAGAAAAACTGCCAAACATATACTATGCTCCTGTTGAAGCATCCATTTTTTGCAATTACTTCGCTCTGTTATATTTTTCTTATCTTTTTAAAAATCACACTTGTTAGAAAAGAAGATGCACTGCAATGGTCTAGAAAATATTTTCTCCAAAAGCCTAATTTTAAGAGCTAGTATTAAAGAAATGTGTTAAAGCCAATTGTTTGGCTTTTCAGAAGGAATTGTAGTGTTGGTTTGTTGCAGCCAAAACAATTCGTGTAGTAAGAACATAAAGACTAACGCACAAACTTTCATGGGTGGGGTGGGGTGGGGAGAGAGTTTACACCCATATACCTGGTATGGTTGACAGAATTGTAAAAAGTGAAGCCAAAAGGAAAGTGAAATGCATAAACTACAATTTAATTACTGGGATGGTGTAGGCCCAGATTCATAATGGGGGGAAAGCTGCTGCTGAAATTCTGCTGAAACTTTGTCAGGACCTCTTGTCCATGAGTCCAAATAATAAAGATATCATTAATGTGTATCAGGTAGAGGACATACTTTTGAAAGTAGGAGCTGAGAGAGCGTTGGTTTAAGTCAGCCATGAAGTTGTTGTCAGACTCCAGAGTCATACAAATAACCTTGGCCTTGTGAAACTGTTGAATGTACTAATTTATGACTAGCATTTTAAGTCACCATTTTGAACTATTGAAAATTTTATCAGCAAAGGTGCTGATTTGACAAGCAGATATGTTTGATCATATGCTTTGTGCTTTGTTTCTCTACTTTTTTACTATTTTTAATGCTAAAGATTTATTTAGAAAGCAATCCTCCACACACATACACACACACACCCCAGAAGTAAAATGATTAACTAAATGCATTTCCAGCTTGGCATTGACTGTTGCAGCATGTATCTGCAAATCCTCGCCTGGTTGTAATTGCAGTATGGAATCTGGTTGTAATCATAGTATAGAATTGTGTCTCATCTCCAGGTCTTCTGGGCAGGTAGTGAAGTCAGACCCTTTTAATTAACTAAAAATGGTATAGGAAAATCACATTTCATTCTTTCATTACTTTTTGGTTAACCAGAGCTGTTCAAAGATGTTCAACCAATGTGCTCATATAATCTGCATTTTTATGATGAAAAAAAGTAAGTTGATTCCTTAAGTCCCGTAAAAGTTAAAAAACCAGATATTTAAATTGGTTTATTCTAGACTGAAAAGTTTTTATGTCCCTAATTTTGCAATTTTAGCATTGCTATATCTGTGTTTTATAATATTACATACATTCCTTGGGATGCCTTGTGGACTAAGGACAGTTTATAATTTTAAAACTAAATAAATACAATGAAATATTGTTAACTCTCTGCAACAACTGATAATACAAAACAGTTGTCCCCATTTGGAATTAAGGTTTTTCCCATCTTACACCCAAATAATTGTTTCTGGTAAAGCTGTTGGCATAAGCATGTAGGGGATTTTGGCTTGCAGTATGGACTTCCGTGATATGAGTAGAGAACAAGTATTTTCCTGTTAGAACTCATTCTGGTAGAGTAGCAGTAGCTCAATTAAAATTGCTTTGAGATGTCTTAGAAAAACTACCAAGTTAACTTATTTAAGAATCAGCTTGCTGATGCTGATTATTAGTAATGTAATCATTATTATTATTCTGAAGTTGAGGTTCAGTTTGTAGTTCTGAGCTTTGTAGAGCCAGCTGGGTGGCTTTGTTTAGAGTGTAGATTATAAGGATTGGGAGCCATTGTTCTAACTGTAGGCTCCTACACCATTCTGACGTAGCAATGAAATTACAATTGGCAGCTGTCCAGCAGTGGTCAGCTTGTAATGGCTCAGAGTGGCTCAAACAGTTCATAATTTTCAATGTATAATGTACAAAAAACTCCAATGGGTCTACCCCAGGGTAATGTCTCTTTCCCATCAAGCTATCCCATAAATATACACCAAGGGCACAAGCCAACACACGTTTAGACAGAATAAAAGAGCTTGCAATGTTTAGGGAATCCTGGGAGTTTGTACAACTTTTTCCCCCTGTCTAAATAGGTACAGGATTATAACACAAATTTATTGTTGCAGGTATGGGTCATCATCAAGGTGCATGCCCATAATGCACAAACTCATATAAAATCAGCATATGCTAATTTATACCTATACCTGCAAATTTAGAAATAATCAGTACAATTGATGTAAATTTTACAAGAGGCAAAGCTAACCACATAGTTTCTCATCTCAGTCTTCTTCAATAAAATCTTGATTTAATTTCCACTCTTCTTTGAATCATCCCAAACCAGTGGAAAAGGTTTATTTTGAATGCAACATGTGGAAATGAAAGGGCTATTGCATGGTTGCTTTGGTATTTCTTCATTGTTATTTAATTCTAACCTACCTTTTCTCCACTTGCAAGAGTTACATCCTCCTCTGAACTTTTACAACAACCTCATGAGGTTAGTCAGACAGAGCTACTGACTGGCTGAAAAATCACCCAGTGAACTTCATGGCCGAATAGAGGCCAGAACCTGGAACTCTGGAGTCCTGGTCCAGTTCTGTGATGACCACAGCATAGTGGCTTTGTATACAGGAGCTTTTCAGAATCTCTGGTGCCTGATATAGGAAGCATGAATATAATATTGTTTGTAACACGGCAGGTGATACTTAGGTGCACATACTTCTATGCTCACAAATTCCAGCTGAAACTGGTATTGATCAAATTGAGTACTGAGGAAAAAGACTGAGCCTTGTACAAATCATAATGTGCATTTTGCTTCCCTGAATGGAATTACTATCTTGCTCCCATAACATGTACAAAACACTCATGCAGTCCTTCCTTACGGAATATCTGCCTGACGTATCCTTTCCTGTTTTCTGATCCTCTTTCTTTCTCTCCATGCGATTATAGTTTGTAAGGTGAGAATTGTTTCAAACCTGTGGTTTTCAGTCTTATTCAGGGCCCCCAGGATTTCTCAATGAGGATGTGAGTAAAGCTGGACAGGTTTTTCTTGAAAAACTGCATCTTCACTGCTAGTAATCTTGCCCTCCAATGTGTAGCTTTTATACCTTATAGGTTTTGGTTTACCCAAATCCAACATAGCAGAGAATACTGTAGATATCTGGACTATAAGGCAATCAAATACTTCTGAGTTTGGTAGCCATCAGTCTGTAAAGCAGTTATACCATTAATAGGTTAGATTTATATATGTTTGCATACTTCTGTAACTTTAGAAAAAGATGCCTGTCCAAAAGTTTAAAGAAACCATGAGACAACTTACACTTTATTAAACAAGTGTTCCTGCTCTCATCTAGAAGGGAAAACCGCAGCTAGTATTTTCTTACTCATTTTCTCTTACAGCAATCTTCAAAACCAAAATAACTCTGTACAGATAAATATGCCCTTATTGGGCTTAAGATTTGTCCTTTTGCAGTTGTTCCACCTATTGCAGTTGTTCCACCATACTTAAGCAACAGTCTTTTATTTGATTGGCAGGTTTAAAGCTTGAGTTTTATTTGGGATGAATTCTTAGCATTTGAAAACAGCCAGCTCACAAAAATATTCACAGAGCTGCAAGATCAGTCAACACATTGTTATTTTTAAAAAGATGTCACAATTCATTCTGGCCTCGGCACCAGCGTTGCCCTGTCTCATGTCAACAGAGAACTAGTTGGTATCGCCCATCAGTATCAACTTATTCTCAGTCCAGATTACAATGATCTTGAACACAAAGCTGAATTTCTGGCACTCCCTTGTTTTTTTAGTTAGAGGGACCAGATGGCGGTGGATAATGTACAGATCAAAGTTTCCACGGATGATTGGTTAGGCTAAGCTGGAGGCAGGTAGAAAGAAGAAAATGATTTACCTTATGAGCCTCCCCCAGTTTTCAGAAGACTACACAGTGCAACCTGTCTCATCCTGGTTCCTGCCAAGTGTGCTGGACTGCAACTTCCATTATCTCCGGCCAGCATGGCCAAATATCTCTGCGCCCAGTGCCCTCCAGGCATCCAACTGCTACTCCCACCACTCCCCGCCAGCATGACAAATGGCCGGGGACAATAAGAGCTGCAGTTGAACAGCTCCAGAGGACCCAAGGATGGGACAGGTTGCACTGTGTGGTTCTCTAAAAACTGGCCAGAGGTTTGCAGGTGGACTACTTTCCCCTTATCCTAGCCAGTCTTATTTGGAGAATTTAATTTGTAAAATATCTGGTAACAGCTGGAGGCATCATGCTGGGCAGAGTGTCTGCTGTTAATTTGTTGGGATACTGGGAAAGGGAGTGCAAGACTGGGTGGACCTTGCTGGGTGTTACCTTTTTAAGGAGCAATACATACCTAATGGATCAATTCAGACAACATGGTTTATTGTGATGGGAACAAGCCACAGTCAGCCATTAACTCGTGCACTCATCCCTCCACCTTCCTGCTCCGTTATGCTCATGATGACAGCAGATAATCACAGTTTTTTGTCCTCTAATGACTTGCACTTGTAGTGAACTCCATGAATGGTCTCTTCCACGCCTCAGTCTTTACTGTTTCATTCTGGACCCTAGTCTGCCCTCATTCAGGACACCTGCTTGACAAATGGAAGAAATTAAGAATTTTTGCAAATCTGCTGTTTCCTCATTTGTTGTCCTATCTCTATAAAATAGGGATGGAGAACTTGTGATCCTCCAAATGTTGTTAGCATGATCAATGGTGAGGAAGGATGGGAGTTGCAGTCCAATAACAACACCTGAAGGGCCATACTCTCTCCATTCCTTCCGGAAGAGCTGTGCATTGCAAATATGCATTTTTACTTAGATGGAGTGACAAGGAGAGAGGAGCTGGTAGAGGTTAAGCAAGAGGACAATTTAACTGTACTCTGCTAGCAATGTGTATATATTTTCAATATACCACTAAATTTACTTTGTATGATCTACTTTACTGATTGTTGTATGGCATGACAGAAAAAGTATGTTAAATTGTTGCAACATTGCTTTTCAGCTGCGGGATTGCATTCAGAAAACCATAAATGAATGGAGTTCAAAGATCAGCCCTGATCTAATGCATGTAAGTCATTTTATGTCTGTCTGTCTTTCTTGTTTCCTTACAAATGCATTAGCCAAATAACTAGAATTTCCTGTGCCTGGGAAGTCAAACGATCCAATGGTCCAATTCCACTTCATTTGCTCTGGTTTGGTTCCAGCTGAGGCCAACAAGTGATTCCGTAACTGGCTTAGCACATGCCAGAGGATTCATCTCTGGTTCACAGGAGAACATTCAGATACAAGGCACATCATTAATAATGGGCATTTGTGCAGCATGCTAGACCAAGCTAGTAAATGCGAAATTGTTATAACTCTCAGCAATATGTTCTAGGAAGCTTGCATAAACAAACAATACATTCTAGAAACTTAAAAATGCCTGTTTTAAAATTTAATTGTACAATAAGAGGCAGGTGATGGAGCTAACAAATATATTTTAAAGAGGAAGGAAAAGAAATGACTTGGTAAACATTCACACAGCTCTCATTTTGATTAGGTAACTTTATTTCAACTGTTTTAACAGAGCCAGGGAAGCTAATAATTACCAGCCTTAATGAATGGATTGCTATATTGTAACTTGTGTATTGAGCAAACCCCCCTCAAAAAGGGGAGATAGACTTCCAATCCAAACTCATTCTAAAGCTTCCCAGGCCCTGCTCTGGAAGAGGGCAAAGTACTGAAGCCTATGCCAAACCAAAATCAGTTCTCACAGATGTGATCATTCTGATTCAGATGGAATCTTTAAGGTGTTTGGCTAAACCCTTATTTGGAGCTGGATACCAGTTTGGATTCAGCTGGGGATTCCTGGTTCAGATTCACCTGTGACTTTCAGATGATGCTGAGGTACATAACTATTTTAGGGTGGAAGTGCAGATTGCTGCCCCATACGCACACTCAGTGACCAGGCTGGAAGGAGTCATGAAGAAAGGGATTTGGGTGGCACCAGGAAGAGGCATTGTTTCTCCAGTGCTCCCGGAGTCCCCTGGCTTTACACAGTGCCCCACATTCCACAAAGCTGCTTGGACCACACCAGAGAGCAGCTGCTTTTCCTGCCACAGGCTGGGCCAAATTGCCCTGCAACCCTGCCATATTCTCTGGTCAGGGAGCTGCAGTAACAGCGGAGTTTCCTCTGCTTAGAGCATGAAGCCCAGTGAAGGTTCTGGCCTATACTGCCTGTCCAGCCTAGCTGGCCCAGACAATGGTGAGGAAGCACAGGAGTTGTAGGACAAAACATCTGGAGGGCTGCAAGTCACCTGGGAGCTATTTCCATGGGCAGCCAGGCCGCTACTGTGCGGATAGAATGGTGGACTAAGCAAACCTTTGCCTGATTCAGTGTGGCCATACTGGTACAAAATTTCAGCTATTCTTGTGGATATTTTTATTTCTAAAAATCACAACATGTCCACAATGTTTTGTTTCATTTGTAAGGTCAGCGCACAGGCTGTGCTTTGAGGCAAAATACAGGCTCAGTAGTGTCAAAAGAGGGCCTGTGGTATATTTGCAGGGCTGCAAGAATGTCTCCCTAGCTGAGGAGGACCCTATGACAGAGCACGGTTAAAGGTTGGAAGACTTTTGTTCTTAGCCATCCCAGTTGCAGGGAGTTTCAGCTCTTTTAAATATGAAAAGATGACTATCGTGATGTGCCAGTCTGATTTTTAGCTTTCTTTTTAAGCTAAGTGTACACTAAGACTATTACTGGCTTGCATTTTTATTTGCAGGAGAGGCCAGAAACCCTGGACTGCACTCTTGCTCAGGCAATAGAAAAGATCAGTCCTGAAGAAAGAGACGAGTTGAAAGTGTCAGGTAAATTCGCTTATGCTCTTGACTCAAGGGAGAGCTTCAGGGCAGGCCCTGTCATAGGTTACAAGTATCTTAGAGTGAACCATTTCTGAAGGCTTACTAAATATTGAGTGTTGAACAGGTTGGGAAATTTCAGCATCGCACAACTTGCTGAGCAGTTCCACTAAGAGGTACACACTTGCCTGCTGTAAAAGTGAAGGTGCAGTAAATGGTTCATTTTATGAATCAGTAGCCTGGTTGATTTATTTGCTTGCCTACCTTAATAGTTCATCTGGCTGTATTTGCACATAATGCTAAAGCATAGCTTAACATCATGAAGGGCTTGGGCAGATTTTGGGCTTCTGTGCTCTCCCCCATCTTCCCAGAATGGCTGTGAGGGGGAGTTTGGAAGGGTCCAGCTGTGTTTACCTAACTGCAATATGATGTATCCAAGCTCTGCCTTGGTGGTTCATGAAGCTGGTTAGTTCTGGTTAGCTGGCCTTCTCTAACCTGGTGCCCTCTAGATTTGGAGTACAGCTGCCACCATTCATGATCATAGATCATGCTAGCTGAAGCTGAGGAGAGCTGAAGTCCAAATCATCTGGAAGAACCAGGTTGTAGCAGATTACACTGAACTGTAGTTATGGTTATATGCAGCCTAGTGTTTGGCTGTAACACTAATCTTGCTAAACAGAAGAAGGTTTCAGTCCTTGCATGGTTGAGCTGGAGCAGGGAATTTGTAAAGCTAAAGCTCACACAGGGTCACCTTTCCAACGCTAAGCCATGGTTTAGCATTATGTAGGAACACAGTCAAAGGGACTGTTCACATACTGCCAAATATCATTTTTAAACCACTCCAGCCAGCCACCTGCACTGCGTTCAGATACCACTATAATGTGCCTGATGAGGGTAATTACGCTTAATTAAGCAGTCTGGCACCTGAAGGGAGGGAAACTATAGTGAATCAGTTAAAGAGTTAATTGCCTGAAATGAGTTCTTGATACTATGTTAATTCCTGTGCATAGCTATGGCTGCAGTCTGCATAATAATCCTACAACCTGAGGCAGTATAAATATTTTTTCCTGCAAGTAGAAGTTGAAGCATAATGACTGTAGTAAGAGAATGGGATTACCTTAGAGCTCTGCATTACAGAACACAAGGAGAGGGTTCATTAATAGGTAGCTATAGACTTAAAATTAAATCCGTTATTGCAGTACATGTTGATCCCCTCCCCCGCCCCCTTTTTAGGGGGGGTTGTGATGGTGCAACAAATGATACACTTGCTTTCTGAATCAGTGAACTATTTTACAACAGTGAACTATTTTACAACAAGGATTTTTATCTAAGCTGATAAGACCAACTCAAATGATCTTTAAGTTTCCATTTATGGTTCTGTAAGTCTGTCCATATCTGATAACTGTCATACATGCAACGCATATTTTTGTGATCATGACCTAATCTAGCCTGAACAATCAGCTGGAGAACGCAAATGTCTGCTGGATGCCATTTGCATCTTAGCCTCCCCAACTTGTGGCCCTGCTGATTGGGAATGATGGGAGTTGTATACCAACACACCTGGATGGTACCAGGTGGGGGGGAGACTGGTTTAACTCATTAATAGCATAATCTGGTGGTCTTCTCCCAATTTTCTGGGATTATTATAAGATTATTCAGAGTCCAAGATCAGGGGATACCAAACATAGAGCCCCATATCACCCCTCCTTGCAGCCAGCACAGAAAGAACTGTGGCCACTGCCTCTCCAAGATAGGAAATTGGCCTCAGAGAGGAGGGAAGGGGGTGTTGGGGCAGATGGGTTATTCCATATCCATATAAATGGTCCCCAGCCTCATTCCCTCTCCTTTCATGGAACTTCATTTAGAAAGGCTGGGTGCAAATTTTTCTTCTTTCTACCGTGCACTGGATACATGGAAGCATCTCAGTTTGAAGGCCAACATGTATTGAATGTGAAGGGCATTGGATTGTGTCCCGAGTTTGTCAGGAGCTCATTGGCATATACTTTTGCGGTCTAATCTACACAGAAAGAATAACAGGGCTACTGTTCACCAGAAGGACCTGAACTAACATGTCTTGCATGAAATGGCTTTGAGATCTAGTACTGTTTCTTTGTTTTCCATTCCATCTTAATGAGACGGTTGCCTAGAAATCTGTTCAAATAAACCTATAGCATGAAAGGTGCAGGTTTTTTTTTTTTTTTTTTGCAAATTTAGACCAGAAAAACAGGATTACAATGCCCACTAATCTCCAAGCAGCAGAGCTGGAAGTTAAGTGTCTTTGGGGTTTTCTGGGGGGCAGGATTGGTCTACTCATGCATAAAATTGCACCTTTAGTCTCTGCATATACCATTGACTGGGTTTGGACCACATGTCAAGCCATGGTGCTTTGCAAGTCACAATTATTTATTGTGTTGTCTGAATGTCTAATTTTTCCCTTAGGATGGTTTATAAGCCACCCTGGAAGGATTTATAAACTACCCCAGCTAGCCATAGCTTGCAGTAGGATTTGATAAACTCATGCAACTTATTGTGCTGCAAACCCAGACAATAAAATAAGCCATGATCAAGTGAAGAAACCAGGGAGCTCCTTGCCAAGAGTGGCAGAAAGTTGCTGACCGGTGACCACCTTTTCCAAGTACCCCAAAGTGCCAAAGTAGCTCTTGGGTTTAGCTGGGGAAGGGTTCCCCCAACCCCTTTAACAGCAGAGGGGCACTTCAAAATTGGGGAAACTCCTGTTCAAGGAAGCAGTCCTGTCCCTTTAAATCATAAACCTAACCCCCCCCCCACCCCAATACTGGGGCTTCCTTCAGGTTTTTCCAGTTCCTAGGGTGCTGTTCACTTGGGGTCAGTTGAAATACTGAAGGGACAATTGGAACTTTCTGGACTCCACAACAACTTTAGGGACCCTGCTTTAAAGGAGGAAGAATTGAGGGAGTATCTCCCCAAATGCCCATTTTGCAGGTCAGTGGGTTCAAGAGGCCCTTGTCTCTCTGGGTTATCCACCCACGGGGAAAAGCAGGGGGCACACGAGCACCCCCAAGCCCCCCTCCCTGAGACTTCACTTGCAAAGGGTGCTTTCCACATTTATGCATAACCCTTTAAAAATAGTTAAAATAATTATCCACGGGCTCCAAAGTTTCTGTTTGCATTGGATAAGACATCTCTGCAAATGAGTATCTACTCCCTATTAACTTTTCCCAGATTCTCTTTTTTAAACCTGGCTGGTAAGAAAAGAACCTTTTGCAGGAGAATCTTCCCCTTGGTGGTGGTGGAGGAGGTGTTCATGTGGCCCTGCGCTGCCTCACTTATCCCGGGTGTGGCTGGCACAGAGGCAGCTTTGTAAGAAGCCAGGCCGTGGCCAGTGCTCACTGGCTTGCTGTGTCTCCAGGGCCAACTTCGTGCTCCTGCAGGGTCCCTGGATCCTGCAGGAGGGAGGCAGCGGCACAGAATCCGTGTTGTGCCTTGCCATCTCTCAGGCCCAGAGGAATGTTAACCACAATGATTAAAATTCCCAAGGGGCTTGTGAGAACCCATCCATTGTGTATTCTGTTAAGCTTTAAAATGTGAATTAATAATAGACTTGGGGACTGATTGCTGTTTGAAAAACCTAATCTTTTTGTTCTGTTTTCATAAGTACTGCTGCAATTGTTCTTTTCCATTTGTGCAAAAGACAAGTTAATGGAGGAGATTGTTGGAGGCAGATTTTCCTGTACAGTACTGACTTCTCCGCTAGATAGTGATTTAACATGTTGCTATATGAGGTAGGGACAGAGAAATAGGCTTTTCTGAATTTACTTTAGGCAACCTCATTCAGAAGAAAAAAAAATAGTTCTGTTTCAAGTTCTAACATCTTAAGAATGTGTGAGTCAGGGAGGTGCCCTTATGATGTATGGAGTATTTTACTTCTTTTACAAGGTTGTTAATTATTATTATTATTATTATTATTATTATTATTATTATTATTATGAAAAGAACTATCAATCTACTACACAATTGTGTGCCTGTTCAGACAGATCTGTTCAGTCTTGCCAGCTAACATGCATGAGAAACAGATATAAACATACTCCTCTGGCCTTGAAGTATCTTCTGATTTACTGGCCGTTATAATTAGACTGTAGCTTCAGATGACTATGATTCTTATATGTCTAGAATCTCTTCAAAAGAACAAAGTCCAGTTCTGCTCCATTATGCCCCACAGCCCAGGTTCTTCAATTATTGATAAACAAAAAAAACCAAGAACTACCAAAAGAGATTGGCCCAAACTCTTCAGGCTTAGTTAGGTAGTATTGCTGCTTATTCTTTAACACTGTATTCTGGATGTCATGTGATGTTGGCATTCCACTGATGAATCGGCAAAGTGTCACTGGCTGCTCTACGTAGAAGGTATGAGAAATGTCATAGATAGAATGTGTAGACTTGGTGCCTTTTTGAAAAAGCAACCAAAAAGCCCCTTAATCTTGAGCTGCTTTTAATATTGCTATTACACTGGATTTATATCCCACCTTTTTCTTTCTTGTGAGGAACCCAAGGAAGCTTACCAAGTCCTTACTATGCTTACAATAACAACCCTGTGAAGTAGGTTAGACTGAGATTGAAAGACTGGCCTAAAGTCACTCAGTGAGCTTCATGGGCAAGTGGAGATTAGAACCTGGATTTTCCTGGTCCCAGTCCTCTACACGACACACTAGTTTAAACAGCAGACTAGTTAAACAATTGACTACTTAGAAACATTCAACACTGTCTTAGGCTAGCTGAAACCAATCCGACTCAGTTCAGTGGTATTTTTACCCACCAAGTATAGAAAATATGAATCCGTTACTGATTAGAAAGCAAGTTATTTGCATTTGTAGGAAAGCAAAAGTCCTACAAATGTTCCCCAGCCAGCCATGTAGGATTTCTTTTTCTGATAAAATGCATAGGATTGCACCCATAGTAAATGAAATACCCAGTTATTGTGAGTGGGATAACTGACCCTCTAGGATTATGGGAAGTTGTCATATCATTGGTTATGTTAGCACAGTTTGTGCACACTGTTTGTCAGCAGCTGGTTCTCCCCTCCCTAGAGATGCCAGGAAATGCCAGGAATTGGCTTGAGAAGCAGAAGATGTGCTCTGCCATTCATCAGCCACACACTGATATGCAGGTTTTATGTGCTGTTAAATAACCAGGAACACCAGGTATTTAGGTGTGCATTACCACAATAGTAGGTGCTGTCATCCCTTGTTAACTCTGGTTTTTCTTTTCCAGCAAAACTATTTATTGCAGGATCAAATTGTTCCTCCATCAGAGAAGCAGTTGATATGAGTAAGTTCAAGACTGAAACTTGAATGACTCCCATTAGTTTTTTAAATAAGTCTGAAACTGCAGTATGGGGGTTATTTCTCTGATGTTTTAAAGAAAAATATAATGACATTTGTATCTTTTTGTCACTGTCTTTGAACTGAACTTGGCAGTCAGTCAAAACATGTAGACCTTCCAGCTTGCAGAATAAACAGAAGCTTGTTATTCCCGAATGAGATCTGCACTTTATAAGCTCTGGTGTTGCTTTGCCAACCAATATTAAGCTGTTGCCTCTCTTATAGCAGTGTTTTGACATTAGAAACTGCCTTGGGGTACAGAACAGAAATGGAGAAGTATAAGACTTCATAAATGAATGTGAGATTGTCATGTCAGATTGGGTGCATGGGGTGTGTATACCTCTTCTAAGATTCAGCTTTTAAAATAACTTTCATAAAGTTTAAAAAATCTTAATAGTTTCTGAGCATTCAATTGTAGAACTCTTCCTGCCTTTTCAGCATACTTTGCTTCAGTCAATACTATATAGATTATTTGTAATTTTAAAGCATTATTTTCCTTGAATTTGTGCAAACATCCACAAAGGAGGTTTTTAGTCTTGAAGGAAAAGATTATAAGGAAAAGAAGTGAATTGGAGATAAGTAGGTTTGTTTCTGAAGATCTTTTGTAATTCTTTTTTGCCTGTCTTTTTTTAGCATGTTCTGCCCTTGGTGTTGACCAGTTGGATTCTGTGATCATTGCCCCCCCTCCAATTGAAGATGGAATTAATCTATCTTTAGAATATTTACAACCTTACTGGACAGAACTTGAAAATTTAGTTCAAAACAAAAAGATTGCTGCCATAGGGACTTCTGATTTAGATAAAACACTGTTGGAGCAACTATTCTTGTGGGCACAGGTAAGAGGCAAGCTGTTAAAACTAAAATAACCTAGAAACGTGGTTTGTTTCTGCTTCTGAAAAGCATATGATGTAAGATCTAATTTTAAACAAAATGTGGATGTTTTGATAACCTGAGAAGCAAGTTGCTAATCATGCTCCATATGTTTAATACCCAAAGCAAATTTTATATTTGTTTAAAAAAAATCACAGAACAGTTTTCAGCATGCCATAAAGAACATGTCATCACTTATGTATAGTGCAAGGCAAATACAAAGTGGTATGTTATATATGAAGGAAAGCTGATAGTTTTTATTGGTTTAGGTGAAACCAAGCAGTAACCAGGTGAATCTTGCTTCCTGTTGTGTGATGCCACCAGATCTGACTGCATTTGCAAAAGAATTTGATATCCAGCTGTTAACACATAATGATCCAAAAGGTACTGTCATGTTAAACATAAGAATTGCCTTGTTAGAGGAGACCAGATACCTATATATGCAATGGATTGTAGAATGTGCTTCCCAGAGAGGTGTGCCTGGCGCCAAGTTTATAATTCTTTTTGGTGCCAGGTCAAAAACTACTTATTTATTCTCCATTTTAAAAATTAGTTTTTTAATGTTTTAACGGTTGCTTTGATTTTGACTTTTATGTAAATTTTATTGTTACTATATTTTTTATAATGTGGCCTTATTCTATTTTGATTTTAAGAATTGTGAGCCGTCCTGGGATGCCACGCATAAGGGACGACATACAAAAGTTTAAAATAAAAAATAAATAAATGGCATCATAAGGAAAGCATTAACTCTGATATACGGAGTTCCATATTCAGTGTGGTCCACCAGATTTTTCCAAAAAGGAACCCATTCTGGGTGCCTTATGTGAAAGCTAGAACATTACGGCTACATCTCGAGGGGCAACGTGACCATATATGTGCCTTGTTTTATTAGAGCTAAAAATACTACTAATGCTGAATGCTACTGGTGCAGTCTCCTGAAAGCACTGTTCTCATGTCCCTGTTCTAACTTTAGAACTGCTTTGTGAAGCAAGCTTTCAAGAAACACTTCAGGAAAGTATTCCAGATTCCCAAGCTCATGAATGGACTCCAGCGTGGCTTCTACGATATTCAGTAATTGTGAAAAGTAGAGGAATTATCAAATCCAAAGGCTACATCCTGCAGGCTAAAAGAATCTCACCATCTTAAGATTGATTCTAAACTTGCCCACTTCTGAGAGAACGTTTCTATACTAGGTATTGCACTAAGGTGCAAACTGGAATTTGTAAAGACCAAAATTTCTTATCATAGACACCATAGTTGTCTGTCCGTTTTTCTTTCTGATATGTGTTCTGTCCTGAGATCAGTATGCTCATATGTGAAATTTTGTTTTTAATATTTTTGCTAATTTACAGATGATATATGCATAAAATATTTGGAATATTTTACGGACTAATATAAACTAAAAATCTGACTAGGTATATTTTGATTGAAACATTTTTATTTGCAAGGAATAATGTTAACTTGTTAAACCTTACTGCTGCTGAGTTGATGCAGAATAAATTTAGAAACACTGGTAGAATAGGCAATTTCCAATATAGGCCAGTGATACGAAACTAAGTTCCTGCAAGCAAATTGCTTAGATGAATGTACTGTAACTTAATTCCCACCACCCCCAGAAGAAAATCATACGACAAGAGACCTTTTACATGGCCTTGTATAACTTTATTTTCTGTTGTTTTGTGCCACATTCTTCTCGGCATGTATCCAGGAAATAGCATATTTCTGTTGGAATTGGGAAGTACTAGTCAAAGAGAATTAACTTTGCTTGCTTTGCCTGATTTCTATTTTGAGAACCATAAAAGAATGAGTGTATGTTAGATTTAAAAAAAAAAACTCATCATTGTACGCAGGGGTATCAGGCAAATCTGAGAAACTTAAAGATAAGTGCTATCTTTAAAAGTGAACCAGAGATAGCTAAGTAACACAGAAGTTGATTTTTTTAAAAAAATTGTTAGAATGAGTTTGGTGTATGCTGTTGACTACTTGGTCTAAAGAAACTACTCTATTGGTCTACTGTTAGTCGTCTAATTTTTCATCTGGCTTATAGCCAAACAAACTCTTAACGAGGTTTACATACAAAGACATTTGGATGTAATTTTATAGGATTGCTACCTGCTAGATGGAATCCTTTCATCCCTGAGGCTTTCAAATCTCATATGCTCTGCCTGACTGCTGCTGCCAGAATAGGAGCAGCAAAAGAGGCAATTTTTAAATCTGTTTTCCTGTTTAGTTTCTTCTGGGTGGACCTGTAAGCCCATCTAAAGTTGCACTGCTAGGGTTGGAGAAGCCACAGAATAGGGCAGGCCCCAAACTCTCCCCTCCCCATTCATCAGAATGCCTCCTTTTTGACCTCTGCGAGGTTATCCAAGCTTACCTTGAAGAGCTGATCCTATTGTTCTTTCTGTGGCTGGGATGAGGAGGAATCAGATCTTAGAGTCCCCCTCCCCATCCCAAAATCATAGTGGCTACTGTTTTGAGAAGAGAAATACGAAAAATCCCATGTCCCTGGATCACTCTCCCAGGAACCATGGGATTGCTAAGCCTTGTGCCACTTCAAGAAGTTGAAAATTTGTATTTGTATCAGTGCACTAGTGAACAGTTTAATGTGCAGTGATGAATTTTATCTGGAGTCTAAAGTTTTGCATTCTTAAAAAAATATTGCCATAGGCAGCTGGATAGAATGCTTTTTATTATTCATTGTATCATAGTCCCATATTTCAAGGCATTCCAGTGGTTAAATTCTTCATGCTTTTTCAGATGATTTTGAATAAAGGTGGTGATTGGTTCCTAAACTACTTTAAGCAAGCAGTGGATATCCTAGATTTCAAGTTATTCTGAATTAAGTTGCTTTGAAATAATTAAGTTATTAATGATTAGTAATGCATGAAGCCTTATGCCCAAGTTACTTGCCAAGAGTCTGGGAAAACTAATAGAATGGACTAAAGGTGTGAACCTGTCTATGTTTAAAAAGAAACCTATTGCTGGCTGGGGAGTCTCAGGAGTTTTTCTGAGCGTACATGCGATTGTGCCCTTTATTCAAACCTGCCCATCAGGATTCCGGAGTAAACTTTGAATTGCTGCTTAAATAGAACAATTCTAGAGATACTGATTGAAAATAGTATAAATATTGAATGTGCAGAAAAAGCTTGTTTAGGCAAAATATGGATTGGAATATGAAACTGTAGAACCTGCAGTTTTATGTTGTCTTCAGAATAACGGATTATTTAAATTTCTGTACTAAATGAGTTTTTTACTAGTTTGTTTTTAAAGAAAGCTTGCTTTACAGAAATATGCTGTTACTCATTTGCACCTGTGCAAACTCCCAGGTTCTGTTGAACTTTGGGAGTGGAAAATAAAGATTTTAATTGCATTTTTAAAACCCTGAACTACTCTTTAATGGTTCGTGCTGGTTGTAGTGGTACCCATAAACATAATATGATAAACTCAGTATTGTCTGAAATAGATACACAAATGCCAAAAGGTGTATGCAGAGCACATTCTTGCTGACATGGAGGGAGAAAGGGATCTTCCTTCATGTCTTTGAGCCAAGTATTTGCTCAACACACTACACACTCAGTTCTGTAACAGGCAAAATAACCACTGCCACACCTATAACCTAATGTCAAGTTTTGCAGGTGTTTGAGCACAGCTGAAAGGATGAAGATGCCTAAAGTGGGACCAACTTCTGTTCCACACAGAATGCTGTTAGGCTGTCTTACTAGTTTTCCGTCAGTCCAGTTCCCTTCAAGTGTCCAGCAGCACTTTCCTTCACATATTTAGGAAGGTAATTGAAATACGTTTTGTGTATTCTATCCAAAATAGGCCCCAAATGATCTGAACCAACCTCCAGCCTCACAATATGCTGTGGTGCTTCAGATGGAAGGGTGCTAAGTGCTCATAAAGAGAAACTCTTGTGCTACACTTTCTACAGTAAGAAAAAAAGATAGAAGGGCTGTAAAAACCTAGGAGACTTTCCAAGTGAAATTTATTTATTATTTATTAAAACATTTTTATGCTGCCCCATTCGCTGAAGCCTGACATCTAGAGCTCCATAAAATTCTGTGAATGAAGCAAGGCTGTGCTGCTGGCCAGTGGTCATGCTGTTCCTCTATTAGAAGTATCAGAAATACTGATCCCACCCAGGCAACCAACCTATAAAGGAACAAAGTTCCATCTCATTTGTCACTGCTGTTCTAAACTGGCTTGCTATTCATTCCTAACCTATAGTGTAAAGTATATTATAAAAGCATGCATATTTTAGAAGGCAGTGTGTTCGGTGGGTAGGGGAGGATGCTGTAATGAAAACATTGAAAACTGAGGCTGAAGTTATCGTTATTTCCAAGAAAGCTTCTAAAACCCAAAGAAAACAAAACAGCAGCTGCAGGCCAGAACTTCTTTTACAACCATGTCCAAAAAAAAAAGGAAAGAAAGGAGGGGGGGGGGGGGGGGGGAGAGAGACAGAGAAAACTGGTATTTTGCTTTTATTGTATCACTCCTGCTATTCACGTGAGGTAAAACCTCAGTTGGGGGCCCAAAGCACTTGCGGTTAACTGCTATGATTTAAAAAAAAAAAAAAAAACCCGTTATGCTGTTTTCCTTCTTCCTGAGAGGCTGCGATCTTCCGGGAATCCAATCCTCAAAACAAGCACTTCAAAAATTAACGTGTTGATCGCTGAAGAAAGGGAGAAGGCGAGGCGTAGAAGAGTGCGGTGAATCTCTCGTCCAAACAAGTTTGACGCTCATGGCACACAGACAGGAAGCCCTGCCCTTCTTGAAACTGGCATACCGGGTCGCTCCTTGTTTTCGAAAACCGTTCCCCTTCTTTACATAATTTCCTTTCCTTTAAAATGGCAACAGTCCCGCCATCTTCGCCATCTGCCTCTTTCATCGTGCTTAGCTTCTGCTCGAGCGGCAGACCTCTGCTTGCGGGTGGGTGTAGAGTGGCCCTAGGCCACTGGTAAGGAACCTGGCACCCTCCGGGAGATCTAGTCTACAGTACCCATCCCCGACTATTGGCTTTGTTGCCTGCTGTTCATGGGCGTGGTAGTCGGAACTCGCCGAAAGGGTCTCACTTGCCTGCCCCCGCTTCTCTGGACGGAACCATCGAAGGAGGTGGTAGGGTTTGGAGGGAGTGCTTAGGCAGGACGCGGAAACCGGAAGTGATTAGAAAGTGCTTCCGGTGCATGCGGCCCACATCGGGAAGATGGTGGCCACCAGGAGCGGCGCGCGGCGGAGCGAGTCAGAGAACAACGATGCTCTGGCGAGAGCGGAGGTGAGAGGCAGCGGCCATGGAGAACCCGCTGGAGCGGCTCTCTCCGCCCGTCACCGCCCGCTCCGGTCGGAAGGGCAGGGCCCCTTCTCAGCCACTCTCCCGACCGCTCCAGGGAGCCCGCAGCAGCTCTAACTATTTAGAGTGGACCCGTTGAAATGAATGGGACGGGAGACCCCTTTATTTCAGCGGGTCTGCTCCAAGTAGCGCTAACGTTGACCATAGCCCTTCGTGGTCTCTTGTGACCAGCGAAGAGGGGCGCGGTGAATGTGCTGAGCTTTGCTTTAGAGCTTCCTGGCTCTTTGGCTTGAAGCCGCCGCTGCGGTAGTGAGCCTGCGTCACTGCAGCTGTCCCGATGACGACGGATCTGGGACTGCTGTCAGGTGGCTTGGCTTGGCTTTGGGAGAAGGCTGCAGTGGTAGGCTGCCATGGATACAGGACTAGGCACGGGGCGGGCTGCTGACTTCCTGTAAACCGCCATACGATGGATAAATATTCTGCAGTCTGAATCTCTGCCTTCAGCCTGACTGAAGCTGAACATGGTAGCACTGGTGCTAGGCTTGCTCTGTGAGAGCTGGTTCATCCTTCATTCGGTTTCATTGGCTTATTTGTGAGATATGTGAAGCTGTATGTTTTGAAACTGCTCAGACAGAAATAGCAGAAATATCACTTTCTGGCTATTCACTAGTGGCTTGTGATGGTTGGTAAAGCTTCAGACATGTAAGTAATCACAATTTTAAAAGGGAGCCATGGTATATTAAACTATTTTGAGTTAGTCATTGATTCATCTATTAAAGTGTTTCACTTGTAAGAAATAATTGCAGTGCAGTGTGCTTCCAATACAGGTCCCAGTGTGATGAACTGGTAAGTGAAAGCTGAAGCTTTTAAATGGGGGGGGGGGAGTTTTTCATTAGAAGATATTAAACTTAGTGTCCAATGTCCTGCAGTACCAATTTCTAGAAACATTTTTTCCAGAAACTAGCAGTGTGCCAAAAGCTGATGGTGCTCACAATTGTAAACTGTCTATAGATAAGCTAAAATGAAAATAATTAGATTAATATGTACATTGAGGTAATTTGCCTCATGATTACAATAGCTAGTTGATTAAAAAGCTACAGTGCGTTTCATTTCTCTGCAGCAGTTATTTATGCATGTTATCTTACATTTTTGCCATTTCTCATAACAGACCTCAGTGGAGGGCAGTACACCTGTGAGGATAAGAAGAAGTAAAGTGAATTCTCATGCAAACGTCATCTCTGAATCTGATCTCGAGAAAATGGAAAAATCTGAAACAAAATTGGATATAGAAGAGCCTCCAGGGGAACAAAAAACTTCTAATAAGAGTAAAACTGTGTATCTAGCAGATTCAGTCAGTGAATTGCATGCTGATGGAGATGTCTCTGAAGCAGAATCAAATTGCTCCTCTGTGTCTGGTCTTCAAACACCTTTTATAAGAATAACAAGAAGGCGGAAAATTGTAGTTCCTTGTCAGCCAGAGACACCAGCGAAAAACAGGCAAAGCAAGAAAGCTCTTCCAAATGAAAGAAGCAAATGCCAAGATGATGATGATATATCTGAAGCAGAATCATGTTCATCCACTGTTTCAGGAGTGAGAACCCCAAGTGTTCTGAGAACAGCTAGAAGGCAGCAAGTCTGGACCAATATATCACCAGTGTGTGAAGCTCAAACTGAAGAGGTCTCCGATGCAGAATCTTGGTGCTCAGGTATTTCCTTAGAACCATCAGTTAAGTTTCAACGAATGACAAGGAGCATGCGGCTAAAATTGCAAGCAGAAACATCATCACAGTCTGAAAGAAAAAGTGAAGTTGTGGTGGATGATGCAAAATCGCCTGAGTATGCAGCTGGGTCTCAGACAATAGTAATCTCTGACTCTGAACAACCCACAAAATCTCATTTAGATGCTGAGCAATCATCCAGTCTATCATCGGATCAGGTAAATGAGCAACTGAGCTCTTGTAAAACTAAGTGCCATTCCAGATCTGATACCAGCAATGAGCTAACAAGGACTTCCTCAAGTAGTCCTGAAAAAGTCATGAGTGAATGTGCCAAAAAGTCACCTAAGAAAGAGGCACCGAAGAAAGAGAATTATGAAGCTGTGGGTAATGTAGAACTAAAGGCAGAAATGGATAAAGATGCAAGGGAATCAGATACACAACAAATATTAGCTGCTGTATATGAAGTAGCAGAAAGCCCAGAGGAAATATGTAATCAAGCCATAACAGAATCCACAAACGTAATGGAAATCCAGTTACCTATAAAGAGTACAGACATATGTCCATATGATCACAGAAGGTCTGATCAATCTAATGAGTCCCCAAAACAGACAACTCCTAGTAAAAACAAAAGAAATCTGAAACCCCAAAGACAAAGCTTTTTGCATCATATAGGAGAAATAATAGATGTGGATGAGCCATCTGAAGTAGGTCACTTACAAAATACTATCCCATCACAAACTATTGACAGCAGTGATGAAGATGACAGAGTTTCTCTTGCAAGTATCAACAGTGATGGAAGCTCAGAGCAGCCAGTGGCCAAATCCTCTTTCACTGCAGCCAAAACTATGAGGCATGACAGATGCCCCACTGTGTCGCTTCTTACAAGTGATGAGACTGACGAATCTGAAAATAGTGATGTGGAAGAAATGAATGCCATGGAAACAACTGCTAGTCGTACTGATACCAGTAATCAAAGGGCATCAGCAGTGGGCAAATCACAGGATGGAGGGGTATTTGTCATTGATAAAACTCCCGGCTTAGATCCCAGCAAAGCATACTATTTAGAGGAGGAAGAAGAGGCCGTGACTGATGAACAAAGTGAGGAATCCTCAGAGCTGGAAGACAATGAAGAGGCATTCATAGATGAGGCTGAAGATATGTTGAATGTAAATAACAAAATGTAAGTTCTTTTCTTCAAAGTAGTTCTGATGTATGTTATAAATGTTTGGAGCAAAAATTACCTATTACTTTCAAGGCCTGAGCAAATGAACAGAAAGGAAGGCATTAGTCTGAACATAAGTGAGTTCTTGAATTTGTTCCAGGGATTGGATGCTATAAGCTAGGAACAAGAATTTATTAATGGCCTTGAATAGCTAACTAGGGATAGGCCATTGGCAGAAGGGACTTTCCTTGTGTATTTTGGCAGCTTTCTAAGAATTCCTTGTCTCGGGTTGGTTGATAAGGATTTTCATTAAAACCTGTTGCTGTTCACACTGGGTATGGGGAGATTAAAGAGCTGCTTTGCATGTTTGCTTTCCATTGGCAGGGTCATGCACACAAAACTGTTAAAGCTCTGGGACGTAATTTTGACATATGGTGGCAAACATGCTAATTTGATACTGCATTGATAACTTTGAGTAATCTATTCTTTCCTTTCTAGCTTATCCCTTTCGAGCAGCATTGATCCTGGTCTCGATGTTAAGCAGCTTGGAGGCTTATACATTAGCTTTGATGCAGGAAAGCAGAAGCCTAGGTCTCATGGAGTTGTGTCACTAAAAGAGAAAAAAAAAGATGAGGTAAACTATCAAGAGTGCTATGAAATCTGAATAAGAAAAGCAAATGTGTCATACTAAATATAGCAAGTATTTAGAAAGCAATACAATTATGATGAAATACCAAAATTTTAGGTTTGGCCAATATTCATTAATTTTACATAAAGCTACTGCTTAATTTGGATTATAAGTGTCTGAAAACCCCAAACAAAGCTCTGGCCATTAGTTTCAACCTGCCTGAATATATATATTCCTACCCATGGTTTGGAACATGTTATAGAAATCTAAATTGCCATCCATGCAATTAGCCCCATCTTTCATATCAAGATCAATTTATGCTGCTATCTGAGCACACCAGAACAGGAGGTAATTATATTCATGGTGCTCTTTGTGATCAGGATGAAACAAGCAGTCACCTGAATAGCAAATGGTGAACGCAGATGGTTGTAGCACTACTATAGACACACAGATTGCAAAGTCCGTCTGGATGAGCATATGTTTGTGAGCCATCTGAACTTGCAGTGGACTATTCCAGGATTACTAGAGTACTACTGAGTACCTGCATAGCACCCCACAGCTTGTTTCAAAATGGTTTATTGGTTCTTGCTCATTGAAGAAGAAAGCTTCCATTCTGGCAAACTTTGAAGTCTGCATTATGGAAGTATCTAAAACCAGCAATGAAAACCTTCAGAATAAAAGTGACAAATGAAACAGCAACAGTTTTCATGAGCACTTTCTTATTGGTTGGATTTGAGCTACAAGGAATTTTGTTTAGCCTCTGAAGCTATGAGAGGTACAGTCTAAATATGCTATAGCTGTATCCATGGGATCATTTTTTCTGTATGATCCCATTTTGTGTCCCATATTACAGAATCATAGAATAGTAGATATGGAAGGAGCCAGAAGGCCATCAGGTCCAACCCCCTGTTCAGTGCAGGACACCAAGTTAAACCATCCCCCTCAGATGGCTGTCCAGCTGCATCTTGAATGCCTTTCATGGGAGAGCCCACCACCTCCCTAGGTAATTGGTTCCATAACATGTCTCTTAGTCAAGTTCACACTTTTCAAGACAGTCAGCTACTAAGACATGTTAGGTACTTGTACAGCTCTCTGTTGAGTTAACGGAACCTTTTGTCCAAGAAAAATGTTCACAATATCTGCACTTTCCTTTGACACTCCCCTCCCAACTTAACTTTCATTTGTTGATTGAAGTCCTCATGCACTGCTGAAATTCTCAGCATAGCCGTCCTGAGCTTATTCTGGAAGTTTTGCATACTTGGATTGTAACTTCTTGCTAACAAACTCTCAGCATGCTTTTCATGCATTTTCTTGCACAGTACTATATAGCAGTTATAATATTTTTAATCAATTATCTCTTTATAGCTCTTGAAAAAGAGTATTATAACTGCAGATTTTGAAAAAAAAGAATGTATTCCACCCTTAAGAGAATCAGCCTACCAATTAAAGAAACAACGTAGGGTAAGTAAAGTGCCACTGAACAAATGGGTCATGCTTAATGCTACAAGATTAGGTATTTCTCAGAATCCTTTTGTAAGACATGTGTATACCTTCACACTCTCAGCTTAATCTGTCTCACAGGGTTATCGAATATAAAATAGGATGATGCCTTACATGTTGTTTTGAGTTTTTTTGAGAAAATTTGATATAAAATATGATAGATGAAATACATAGAGGGCTGATACTTGTAATTCTGTCTGTTCCTTAAAAATACATTTCAACTCCTGAGAAAATGCTGGCAAAATTTGAATACATCATGTGCTCTTTCAGTCTAGCTCTTGTGGCTGCATGTGATGACCACAAGACTGAGTGATCTAAACATTTTCTCATAGCTCTGGGGCTTTAGGAGGGTGTGGAGAAACCTGAAAGATTGGGAGGGAGATGTGGAAGCTGGACACTTGACAGGGAGGATGAGTGTTTGGGGACATTTAGGAGAGGAGAGGTGGAAGGTGCAGCGGTTGGCTGGATGTTTAGGAGTGCTTGCATGTGTTGGGCATAAAGGGCATGTTTGCAAATCACCACTGCAGATTAATTAGCCTGTTTGGAGGTTGCTCTGTGACAGCACACGTGAGCTCTTTAGATTAAGTGTGGGTTAAACAATCTAAAATTAACCTAAAAACTCATTTTAGGTGCTTTTGTATACTTGATTGTAATAATTGAGAGAAGTGAGTCCAGCAAAGCATAACACAGGTTGTACCAACCTGACAGTAATGCTATTATGAGGAAAAGCCCATCAGACAAACAGCATGGGTGCACTTCCGCACTGCCACATGCCTGGAAGTAGAACTTCCAGAAGTCCTCCAGTGTCGTTATGAGCCTATTACAGTACAGGACTATATAGCCGATTGTGTTGATTGGGTACCTAGGCTAACTTATTTGGACTTATTAACAAATTGGACTTACAAACGCGCTCTTGGACCAAACTCGTTTGTATGTAGGGGACTTCCTGTATATGATTTCATTAGGTGTCCTGCCTAAATTTGGTCCTAAATTGTAATGTTGAAGTGAGATCTGTCAACCTGGAACACTAAATGAAGTCTGAAAGCTAAATTTGGAGTCTGATTTTTGGTCTGTAGTAGAGGGTTTTCCCACCATTGGAAGGAACATCTCTATTGTATGTATGTATGTATGTATGTATTTAAAGCATTTTGATCTCATTCTTCAGCTATAAAAGCTTCTGGAGCAGCTCCTATATCTGGGTTAGACAGTGGTTCCCACAGACACCAGTGTATGATAATGATAATGTAATGAATTGAATTTAGGTATGATGAAAATATTTTTAAGGTCTTTGAAAACTATCTTGGTATAAAGCTGTAAGGGTTAGGATATTCATTCATTGTCTATCCAGATTTTAATGCCAGCTCTTAAAGCTTGCCTATAGCCCTCAAGGACATCATTGTACTGCATAAAATGCAATCATTTTGATAACAAGTTGGTAAGTTTTGAGGTACAATATCTTTTTGCTTCCAATACAGGCAGAGCGAGAGAAAACCACAGGAGATGGCTGGTTTGGTATGAAAGCTCCAGAAATGACAGATGAATTAAAAAATGACCTGAAGGCTTTGAAGATGAGGGCAGCCATAGATCCTAAAAGATTTTATAAAAAGAACGATAGAGAAGGTCTTCCCAAATATTTTCAGGTAAAATGGCAAGAAACTGTTTACAACTGTGTATGTTCTTGTTTGTCTCCTTTATTACTCCATTGAAGTTTTCTTGTAATCCCTAAGTATTATTTGAAGTATACTGATGTTCATTTTCTTTTTTAGGAAATGAGATTTGTGTTTCTCTAACTGTGAAAGGCTGCTTGAATTTTCTAAGATCTGAACTTGCAGTCTGGTGTATAACTTTATGATAAAAATATGTTTATGATTGCATTTCTTTTGCTTCCTGTAATGCTTAAATCTTTACTGCCTATTGACTCTGAAACATAACTGCATGTTCCTGATGTTTATATGTTGCATGATTACTGCTTGGAAAAGAAACTGCATGGTTCTACCTTTTTTCAAAACTTTCTTTCTTTTTTGCATTTTAATTGACAGCTTCAGTCCAGAGTACACATAAACATTGGGAAGGCATTCGGACTTGATAGCAGTACACCATTAGCATATTTTATGGTATTCTATCTAGACTTAGGAATTTCCACCTAAGATAATGCTGAATACAACTGATTAACACTGTCTTATGTTTTCATGTGTTCTATTAAAATATTTCCTGTCAATTTTATCACTTCTTTACTATGCTGAATACACATAGGAATTGTCTAATGTTACAGTATTGAGGAGGGTCCTGTAATACAATGTTGTAGTGTAGAATGCTTTCATTCTGGTTGTTTGGAAAACCTGGGGTCCCCCAGATGGGCTGATCCCTCCATCTTGTGCCGGGACGGGAGCTGTTTTGGCTTCCTCAGGATAGGCACTCTCAGTTTTCTATTACTATATTGTATACTTTGCTGCTTCTTGTTCATCCTGTAAAGTTATTCTAACTACTTTATAAAAACAACCTGTCAAATACCAAGTTTTTCTTAAATGTTCTTTTCTCAGGTTGGAACTGTTGTAGATTCTCCAGTCGATTTTTATCATGCTCGAATTCCCAAGAAAGAAAGGAAGAAGAATATTGTGGAAGAACTTCTAGCAGATTCGGAGTTCAGAAGGTATTTACATTTAATTTCACTTGAAAACATAATACAAGCATTGTGGCAATGTAAAAAAGTCACTAGGAACATCTGAAACATCACCTTCCATCCATATGATCTCATCCGTCCCACTGTATTTAATTCCTGGAACTTGCTATACATCACAGCTCTTTTAGAAGCACAATTGGTTAGGATGCAAGGCAAGGCCTTTCCTGTTACAGCATCCAGATTATGGAACTGTCTCCCTAGAGAAGTGTAGTTGGCTGACTTTCTTTTAAATATTGTGTGTGCGCTTAAGATGTTTTAAGGCACAACGCTGTGGCTGGCAGGGGAATGTGTGGAATTGCAGGATATTTTTCTAAGCACCCATAGGATTGTCTGTTTGATGTGGTTTACAAGTGTTTATCTGCTCCTGCTCTTATGAGACACACCTTTTAGTGTTGTTTTGATGTGCATTAGTAATTTGGCAACCCTTTTCAAAAATAGTTTATATAGAAAACTATTGGAGCAATTTTTAAATTAAACAGTGAATAAGGTACATGTTTACGGATGTAGGAAAAAGTGAGCACTTTTTCCTTTTCCTTAATTTATACTTAATAATGATATAAAGAATTCAGTTATACTTCGTTTATTTGTGGTATGAATTGTGGCAGCCATTAGGGAAAGGTGTAGTTGGCAGAGCACCTGCTTTGTCTGCAGAAGGTCCCTGGTTCAGTCTCGAGCATCTCCTGGTAGCCCAGAAAGGACTCTTGCTTGAAAGTCACTACAGTTACTGTTGACAGTTGTGGACTACCTGGACCACTGGTCCAACTCAGTATAAGGCCTCTTCCTGTTTTCTGGTTCACCTGTTTAGATAGTGTATTGTTTCTTCTGTTTCTGTGGTACTTGGGGTGGCGAGAGATAACATGTTGAGATACCATTATGCTTTTGCATAGTTGGGACATATATAACAGTTGGGACATATATATAGTGATGTGACTGTCAATGAATATTCTTTTTTAAAATTATATGATGCTGTCTTCTATAAGAGCATTCCCTGCCTTTTTTAGGCATTTTTGAGTGGTGAACAGAAAACTATTTATATACACAAGAGCTTTTCAACAAGTGCACCAAAAGTCTGTTTATTTATTCTACCAGTCTAGATACTCTTTTCCTAATGAATAACAATGACATTATTGGATTGTAATAAGGATCCATCTAGTTCAGCATGCTGTTCCCGCCAGATGCCTTCAGGAAATTCACAAGGATGCATGAGGCAAGGGCACTCCCTGAATCTTGTTCCCTGTTTGCTGGTACTCAAATACATAACTTCTGATGGTTCGGTTTACTTCTCATGGCCAATAATCATTGCCACTATTTAAATTGATTTTCTTTGAATCTGTAAAAATAGTTCTTTTGCCATGGTGATTTGTCTGGATTCTGTTTTTGTATACCTCTATTCATGCATCATAAAACTTTCTCTTGCTCAGATATAATAAAAGGAAATACCAGGACATCATTGCTGAAAAGGCAGCTCTTGCAGCAGGCAAGAAAAATCGGAAGAAGAAGAAATTTCGCAATAATGTTTGAAACAAAGAAGAATGGACTTAATTTTCATAATTAATTTATGTGCAAATACTGGCCTGCAATGTATCATGACAGCAACAACAGGACAAGAGAGGCATTGTTTTCCAAACAGTATTTTGGAAGTGAAAATGACATACTGAAAAAGAGTATCCAGTAGGGACCATAGAATTAGACTTCTGAGGAAAAAAGTAATCATGTGCAAAAGAAGAGTTCTGAAAATACATAGGTTAACTTAAATTAGAAACCTCATAAAACTCAATCTTTATATTTGGCTTTTATAGAAATGTATAAAATCTCTGTACATTTGCTCATTAAAAACTTTTTAAGAATTCACAATCAGATGAGTTTATACTATTTATTTATGAATTTTAGAAACTTGTTATTGTGAAGGTGTCCACTGGAAAATATGTAATACTATGCATTAAAAATACATTGCAAACATGAACGCCAACCTTAATTTATACTCTTCTTCAAAATAATATTTAGAAACATAAATTAGAGATACACTAAAGAAGATTTCAGTCCACACAGCTCTCTTCAGCTTAAAAAGCAAAGAATCAAGTCAGTGCTAAAGAAACTGGGAATCTCTCTGTCCAGCTTGAAAGTTAGTTAATATTTTGAGCACATGTGTCAAAAGGGATTTTTTAAAAATGCAGGTAAAAACAGTGACAGCTTGCAACCAGTTAAATGCTTTTTAACCTTGAGTTTGAATTCATGTAACTAAGTTTGGCTTTATGCTTTGATAGGGAGCACATACAGAGACCTGGTTTACACAGTCAAACAATCCATGATTTTATTTAATTATTAACCATAGGTTGGATGAGTGTACTGGAACAAGTAATTATATTGCTTCCTGCTTACTCTTACTGTCAGTTGACCAGGAATGCCTGTCACTGAGCCCTCCTGGCCTGCTTAAAACAAAAGCATTGTCTTACTGGCAGCTGGATCTGCTGTAAAATAGGTTTTGTTGGTGCTGTAAACTAGGCTCAGAGGAGTTGTTTATTGTCTTGAGACTCAAACCCCACTATGCCTCTGAATACTAGATGCAAGAGACTGGCATGAGAGGCCTCTTGCTGCTTTGGGACTCCTCAGAGGCAACCTGGTTTACTACTGTAAGAACATGGAGCTCTGCACCGATTCAGCTGGGCTCAGCTTCTATCCTATGCACTTAGGCAGGTTTTAAAGCTAGATAGGTAGCCGTCTACTCTTCTGTGCAATGGAATTTCTGAAAGGAGAATCTGATGACTTTCCCACTGACCATCTTGTCTTCTATTTCCCCACTTTCCCACTGAAGTGCACACCCACCTATGCAACAGGTGAGCAGAAACATGGAATGTTTGCACAGTCAAGCACTTCATCCTTACATTTTTCTGAGACTCTGTTCTTCAGAGTGACTATGATGCTTCATGGAATGCAGCAAATGAATACATTGTTAAGGTGGGGGCTGTTAAAGATGAAGTAAATATGAACTTATTACCATGAATTCCTGTTTGCTGGAAAGTTTTCCACAATTTTATGGATAATAGCTCTCACATGTCAGCAAGCAAGGTTCAATCATGATTCATGGCGGGGGGGGGGGGGCAGGTGTCACCACCCTTCCATATAGGCCATTTGGTGTTAGAGTAGGCTCCATCAAACTCATTTTATTTAGAATGTGTATTTTTTAAAATTTTGGGTGCCTCTTTCTTCTACCTGCCTGACATATCCTAGGCAGGGACAGTAATAGTCTCATGGAGGGTTACAGCATTCTTTCTAAGCAGAAGAGATTCCCAGCCTGCTGTACTGAACATCTTTACAATATATAGCAAGCGCTACCCAGTGAAAGTAACCCATACTTCATATGATCTGGTTGGCAAAAAAGAAAGGCAGATGGAGGAAAGGAGTTTCTCCTCCAATCTTTCCTGGGGCCAAACCAGACTTTATTTTAAATGTATGTCTGTGTCCATGTCCACTGGAATCAATGAAAAAAAACTAGCCTTGACTTCAGATAGCCTCTTCAGTTAGGCTACTTTAAGAATCATTCAGCATGTATCCTATGAGAGCACAATAAAAGATTATTAGATCTTTTGAGAAACGAATCTCAGCACTATGGACTCTGGACTCATGGAGGATCTCCCACACATATGCACACACAAAGTGATTGCAGTGGCCACAGAAAATTAAAAGAAACAGAGATTGTCAGTGTAGACTGCTGCTCTTGAAAGAGTATAACTACATATGATTCTGTAAGTGTGGGTAATTAGTGTTGAATTTCCTTTTTTCCTCTTACTTCCCTGTCCCTTTCCCCTTGCATGACAAGTTTTTAGATAGTAAACCTTTGGGTAGGAACTGCCTTATTAATTCCACATAAGCCACTCTGGAAGCCTTTTGATCGGAGAGTGGAACATGAATGTAATTTTTGAAATCATTCATTCATTCATTCATTCATAATAAGATAATAAGGAATAACTTCTAGAAGCTGTACTGTTTCATCTCCAAAAAATACCCTCATCTTGCTTAACAGAAATTCAAATTAAGAGAAAAAACTCATTTTTATTGTATAATCATAGGTTGCATGAGCTTGGAAATAGGTGTGGGTTGGGGGGTAGCTTTGACGGGAGCATGGCTTTCAAGTGTGGCTCTATCATGAGCGGCCCCCCCCCCCGCACTTCTAAATTTGCCACTATACCACTGGATGAAACCATCCATAGACAAACAGCTGGACTTTACGATGCTTTCCTGGATGTTGACACCTCTGAAGTTTTATGCTGCCCTACCACCATCGTTTCTAGTATACTTTCCTCTTGTGATGTTGGTTTCCTTTATAGCTGAATGTTTACCATCAACCGACCCATTTAGCTGGTATATTACCATAGCTCTGGTGGTACCACATGCAGTATCAGTTTCGATTCTGTCAATAATAAGGCAAAAGTGATATTAAAGTATGTATCTTCATCCAGCCAAGCACCTGGCTGAAGTGATGGCAGCGACGTGGGGGTGAGGGGAGGAATTCAAATTGAGTCTCCCACCAAGACATGCCAGGTAGTTTATCCATCTGTGTGCAAGTTTTAAGTCCTTTGCATACACCTGAACTATTACTGCTATTCCCGGTCCTGTTTTGCATGTTAACTTTGTCTACTGAAACTACTCTATTAGAGGATCTTTGGAAGATTTTCGACATCTTAAGCCTGAAGAGAAACGATGGACTGCGTAAAATATCCCGCCCACTTGGGAAGATGGCTTAGGGGAGTTAGTGCAGACCTGCCTGTACTGTTTCCAACTGAGCAAACTACGCTGCCTGGGCCAGTGCAAAGAGATATAAAACAGCGATCACCCTCGGAGCGGGACGCATAGAAGGCATTCATGAGGAATTTTTGCATCATTTTTTGTAAGCGTCTAGCCCTCATGGGTATTAATCTATGCTCTTTATTTAAGGTAACATCACTGATTTTCAAGAACAGTCCTTAATCGGGAATATACTTCATCGGTGAGATTATTACTATAGGCGACGAGGCTTTGTGTTCGTGAGCGTGAGGGGCACCGCTACCTCCCTTGAAGACCGGGATGATACTCTTCTTCCTCGCCCCGCAAACGCGAGCGCCTCCCTGTCGACTCGCCAGGCAGAGCTCCTCCTGAGGGGCCGGGCAACAGCCGGCCCTGTAAGCCAAAGGGCCCGAATTGTGCTCAGCGGCCTTCGCAGACCGCAGTTTTCGCCAGCTCAGCAAACATTTACTCTGGAGTCGGAGGAATACAGGAAGTACTAAAAAAAAAAAGGAAAAAAAATTCTACCCGCGACTCCGCCGGGACTCGAACCCGGAACCTTTGAATGTCTTCACCCTCTAGAAGTCCAATGCGCTATCCATTGCGCCACGGAGCCACCTGTTGGATTCTTTGTACAATCGCTATACAACTCAGAGGCAGACGGCTGTGGTTGGAGGGTGAAAAGGGTTTGAGGAAGCTGAAAATGCAGCTTGAAACCCACTTGCTCCGTTGCCTGAAGAGTCGCCTGCTCACTTCCGGTATTGCAGCCGGCCTTGGGTGGGTGGAATCAAATTCACCGAACGTGGGGAGGTAAGGCGGGGATTGCAGCTGGGGATTGTTCCCATCTTTTGTGTGTTGGCGGATCGAGTCTCATTGCCGCCTCCTAAAGCTGAGATTTGTAAAAATCACAAAAAGGGTATTAAAAAACTACTCTCAAAATTATAGTTATTTTTTAAATCAATGCTGCTAAGGTTGCCTATTTTAAATAAAAAGCAATTATATCTAATTGCTTTAAAGAGTGTTAGACTTGAAATTCTTCCATTAAATAATTTTGTTTGCAACTAGATAATTTCGAGGGTAATCGTTCTCATTTTATTTTGCTGCCATTTCAGTCTAAATATCACTGATTTAAAAGCTTTTGTTCTTTTGGATTTCCCAATTGGTTTTTCTTTATGGTAGGAAAATGAATTAGAACTAAACAGATGAGCAGCATTACATCAAGAGTAAGCCAGTATTTTGGTTTTTTATCGGTGAAAAGGTAGTGTGCAAAAAGGTTTTGTTTTACTGCAGGTGCTTCAAATAACAAATGGTTTAACTTCACTTGATAAAATAATTCAGTGGTTTCATGCTTTCAAAAATGCAATAATTAGGAAATTGCATTTTTGTAACAGGTTTGTAGTGTATTGAGTATTTACAGCCAGCTATATCCCTTGACCAGCACATCCTTTTTTATGTGACAGAACTAGTAAATCTTTTCTTAAATAGGGCTACCTTCTCCCTGAACAGCATCAAGCAATTTCCACTTCCTTTATCCTTCTTAACCTTCCTTTCTAACCTTGTTTGAAAATTTGCACTTGCTTAAACCAAGATGTATCTGTCCAGTAAGCTATTTTGTTATTTATATATCAACTTTGATTGGGTGGGTGTGAAGCTTAAACAACCACTTTTTTTAACCTTCAGGGTGTTGTTCTTGCCTTGAAAGCCTCCAGTGAGAAGCTGTAGTTAGGTGTTGAGCCTAGCAGCATTTGCCAGTCCTAGTTTCAGGTTTGTGCGAGGTGCTTAACCTCTGGCATGGGCCTGTCTAGGGTTTATGCCATGGCTAGAGGAGAGCACGAGGGCTTGTGCGCTGGCCAGGCCATAGTCAGACCCGGGCCTGCCTATCTCATGCCACACTGCTGCATAATCCTAATGGGGTGTGATACCATGGCTACACAATAGTACAGTAACTTGCAGGGAGTTGTGTTTAGTTTGTCCTGCTGAAATTGCAGAGAGAATTTAGATAAACAGCACATCTTTTCCTAACCATTGTCAATGCATTTAGGACAACCTTTTTCCAGTTTAGAGAGAAAAAAGGCCTGTAATTGCCAACGTGTTCC